CCCTGCCATGGCAATGGCTCCTGGGTAAACCACGCCCGCGGTGGCAATGGGAATCTGTGCTTGTTGCCTGCCATGGAGACAAAGCAAAAAGGACGTTTGAATACTGGAAGCAGCAAAAGGAGGGCAAGTACAACAGCACTTTGCAAGCCCAAAGCATATGCCCTTGGGCGTGCAGAGGAAGCTCCTGGATGGTCCATGCATGATAACCCTTAGCTCAACACTCCAGAGTCATCAACTGACGCTCTTGAAACCAACATCAAGCCCAATCCAACTTCACTGATAAGGAAACCCCACCTCTGTAAACATCTCTAGCTGTACCTGAACTACACAGCTTCGGTTTGCCTGCCGGCGATGCCAACTTTTTTACTGGGTAAACTGGGTGTCCCATGAGCTGCCAGCCAAAAATAAACATCCTTTCAATCGTGGTCCAACTTAAAAAACATATATTTTGAAAACCTTCCTTTCAAACAATCTAAGCTGCTGGCAGGACTAGACGTAAAATTTGCACATTGCCAACAGGACAGATGCAGCGAGGGCTAGGTAGTTTGCACAGGAATGGGGAGGTGTTGTAGGAAAGTACCAGTGGATGAGGAGCAAGCAAGGCAGGTCTCTCCAAAGACGCAATGTTTAATCCATGTTCACTCAGAGACCCGGTTGTTACTAGGGAGAGGAACAGTGGGCTTTCGGGGACCAACATGGGTTTATAGGATGATCACTAAGGGCCTCCCACTGGAAGGTGATAGTTTCCACAGTGAGCGACACTTGTGAAAAGCAGAACCTTTGAAGGAAGGTGAATAAAATTGGGAAAAGGCAGACTTAAAACGGAAGCATGTATTATTTAAAAATCACTGAAAAGCAGGCAAGCAACATGAGCATTTGAGAAAATCCTCTACAGGATGCCTTTATACGGCGTCTAAGCCTTGGAAACCTGTCTGCTGTAATGAAAGAAGAATTATTCCAGGCCATAGAAATTCCCTTTGCATCAGGAACACTAGCTGTGTTATACCAGTGTTTGTTTCCCTGAGAAGCTTCAGGGTCCCAACAAGCCTAGAGGTTTAAAATTCATGCTCCTTTTGTTTCCTTGCTGCATGAAGTAATTCCATTGCAGTAATACTCTTCAGTACATGCTGCACATTGTAATGTCATCAGCAGTGTGTCCATCTGCACTGAAAAGCCTTGCCACAGGAGACAGGGCAGAGTCTCTTGAGATGAACACTCTTAATTAAGAATGAAACCCTCCCCTGTTCCCCTGCCTGCCTGTGCCCCGGCTGTACAGTAAGCCTCGCACAGTACAGTGATCCTGAAAGACTTTCCTCTGCCAAACAGCTTTACATTTGTTTGGAACTGCTTGCTGCGTTTCCAGATACTTCCTGCCTGCCATTCCAGTGCGGCCGCCCTCCGCACGGACCTTATTTATGTGTTTCTGAAACGACTAGAAGTTGTCTCAGCTGAAGATAGAGCCCTCAAAGTAGGGAGCGGGTCTAATTTGCATTGTGTTCTTAATTCAATAGGAGGGCTTTTGTTTTCTGGAGTCAGCATTTCTGTAACAAGATTCAGCACACTGAAATTGCTTTTAATATTTAACAATACGAACACTTTGCACTTAAATGGTGCTTTTCAGAGTGCTTTTCAAATATTAAATAATTTAAGAATAGTATTTTTCCACTTCTATAGGGTGTCCACTCCAGAGGATCTCAAAGCAGTCCTCAGATACTAATGTATTAGGGCTCTCAGCAGTCCGGTGAGGTGAGCTTCCACCCTGCCATTAAAGATGAGGACACTGAGATAGGGAAGAGCTGCAAAAAATGCCCAGTCCTTGCCATTGCGATGCCTTCAGGCTTTCGGCATGTCCCAGCAGCTACCATAGCCACAGCCCTTGTAAAACCAATCACTTGATGCTCAGGCAGAGGCTGGACTGGTGTTTAGAAGTTTAGCCCTAAGTGATCCACACTGGGTGACGCGGCAGATGGGAACTAGAACCAGGACCACAGGCGCAGTGCCGTGACTGCCAGCACCAAACACTGACCCCGCTGCAGTCATCGGCCGCTTTGTCAGTGGCTTCTATAAACATTTCCTCCCAGGTTCTGTGCTGTAATGCCCCAGTCCAAATTATCTCCAGAAATGTCTTGATTTCAATGTCAGCCTTGTTTGCAAAGCTAAATAATACGCAGAATGTTACAAGGTTAATTTTTTTTCCCATGATGAAGCATGCATGTTAACCAGATAAGCAGTGTTTTGGGGGCTCTGTTGCCACCTATTGTTTTTCCAGAAGGCCCCCCTCCTCTTTTTTTAATCTCTTGATGCCAAACGTTGGCTGTCTTCCCTGTGTTTGTTTCAGTGCTTACCACTGGGATCACCGGACCTGCCAGCGCCACAGGGTTAAGCAGCTCAAATTTCTCTGCTGAGCAGCTTACTATAACAATGCACACTGTAGCTGTTTAAAACACAGTCTGATGACACTTAACAGTTGCTGGACAGATATTCTCTCCTTTATTGCTACTTCTAGCCATTAACTAGAGAGATGTTCAACTCAGTTAATATTAAAACAATTCCAAATTCAGATGAAACAGAACACAAATTCCATTACGTCTGAGAGTCCTTCTTGTTGTTGCTTTTGCTTTTTTTAAGACCACTGTGTAGCTTTTAATTTTCTCAAGTGAATACAGAAATATTGCCGAATATTTGATTACTTCTGATTCTTTTGATCTGCCGTAACCAAAACCAAGGAGTCTTTGCAGAAGGGAAATACATGCTAGTTTTCTAGGCAGACTTTAACCTAATCATATCAAGCTGATCTACTAGCTGTTTATCAGAACCAGTTGTCTTGAAATTTATGCTCAACACAAAGCATTTAGCTTACTATACTGGAAGACACTCCCTAGTATGACAAATTCTGTCACGATGAACAAAGCACACAACTTCACGCCTGATACGAATTAACTGAGCCAAGTCCATATTCAGGCTCAAGTTCAGTACGTTCAGCAGTCCTTTTGCAGACCACTTGCCACAGATCATACTGAATGCAAACTTGTATTTTTGGATTTTGGATCAAGAGGCACTACCATAGATTCATTCAGATACACTCTCTGAGGCCTTATAACAAAGTAATACTTACAAGGCGTTATTAGAAGACTTACATTTCATTGGAAAATCTTAAGCTTATTTTTTTATTTTGCATGATCAGAGCAGAGACAGTTGGCCAAAGCTGTAAGATGAGTATACAGCAGAGCCAACAAAAAAAATCCCTAACTGCCTAATGTCCTCCTGGAACACATTGTTTTAAAGTGTAAGCTTCATATTCTGTTAGCAATATATAACGTCCTTGCCAATAAAATATAACATTTACCACACCGAATTATTAATTCTCCCTGAAAATTTTTTTTTGCTGAAATGAGTGGTAGTTTTTAAAGGTCCCATACCCAACATTAAAATACTGCCTCATCTCCTGACGTCTGTTGCGCATGATAGCCTTGTACTCGCCAATGCGTAGTTTTTTGCCATCTACAAGGCAGGTACGCTTCGGCCTTGGCTTGTATTTGTAGTCTGGGTATTTCTCCAGGTGCTGTTTGCTGAGTCGGGCCTGCTCCTCATAGTATGGCTGCTTCTCTAGGTTTGTCATAGCTTTCCAGCGAGATCCTGTCACACACACACACACAAAAAAAAAAAGAATGAGAAATGAGATTCTACTCATCCACAAACACTGAAAGGCAGAGAAACAAGTAGGTCACCCAGAACAAGATACCTACGGTCATATTGCTTTGGGCTGGGAATCTGTCAGAGCTTCTAGACAGGGGTCAGGTCTTGTTTGTATTTGTCTGGTAAACCTCTTGGGTATGGCCAAGGGGCAGAAAGAGATGATACCGGAAATTTTGACTCAATATTTTATTGAAACTTATCTACATTATAATGTCTTTCAGGTGGGAAGTAAAACCATCATCTTGATAACGAGCAATCCCTGACGGCCCTTAGACACACAGTCTGCTCTGCTATGTCCCGTCCACTTTCCGTTGTCCATGGGCTTGTTTTCGTCCCCTGTTCTGGAGGAGGCACCACTCCTATCTGCTGTGATCTAGTTGCTGCGCTCCACCACGGCTGGATCGAGGCATAAACGCTGGATATGAACACAACTACAGCTTAGTCTTTCATGAGAAATACCCTTTCTTTCTAGCTTCCGGGTCTGTGAGAAGCAGAATATGAACTGATTGTCAGTGCTATGCTGCAAGGTACAGGAGCCTGCAAAGACCCTGAAGCAATGCCTCTAAAAGCTATAAACTATTCCATATGCCTCAGTGGGGGTTTAACTCCAAGACCAAGTCCTGATGAACATTGCCAGCTCCAACTTAAAGAATTTAGTATGTGTCACGAAGGGAAGAGCACTGGGACACTGGCACACCTCTCCACGGAGCCGCACTCGTGAAGTTTGTTTTCAAATACCTCCTGAAATTTATAAACTAATATTTGTTAAAGGACATAATATGGGAGCAGAAAGTAAAATTTCTTGAATCAGTTATCCTATTTTATTTTTTCCGTGAACTGTAGAAGTGCTTCAGGGTAAGATACATTTCAAATAACAGAAATGGTCCAAGCTGTGAAACATGTGGCCTAGAGGAAAACTTTATTGGAAAATAGTCAATTTTCCCATTGGAAAAAAAGTTCGAACAGTTTCTCAATTTAATGGGTTCATAATGTCATATGTCATACTTGACTTCCTCTTGTTCTTAATTTTTTATGGTTACTCATACTGTACTTAGCTCATGCTATTACTCAGGCTGGTCTTAGCTCACTGTGCCCCTAAGACCCGCAATATAGAGAGCACAGTTATCCCTTCCCAGGAAAGAAAACAGTTTTGATCCCTCTAGAAAGGCCCCTTCTGATTACTGACACCATTTTCCCCATTGCTCTTTGAATCTTTATTCCAAACTGCAGTTTTGCCTTCTGGAGGGAAGGGCTAACAGGCTGGTACCTCCTGACCTCACACCTAGAGATAATTGATTTGTAAATAATGTCTTTGCTCTGGAGAGGAGCAACGGACATCCCTGTCTTTGCTAACATCACCTTGGAGTCAAAAATAATAGTTTTTCATGATGTTTACCACATGTAACATGCAGAGACCCTCCAGCTAGCTCTGGAATGGGAAACAGTTCAATTACATTGTCATTAGCTTAGGCGCAGCACCGTGTTAGTGTGACTGGATGGTTTCTAGGATTTGGACTAAAACTCCTGCACGGCACTTTGTATGCCATATGGAGGTACTATCTGTTTATGAGGATCCGTGGCAGGTCTCTGAGTTACACAGGGCAGACAAACTCGGTGGCCAGAATCCTGGTCAGCAGCTTTGTCTCCAGCAGAGAAATTATTCCAAGCTTTCTCTGGCAAAGCAAGCAGCTAGAAAAAGTGACACTGACTTTGCACACACAGTACCTCCTAGATTTTGGGCTAAATAACACAGTGATAAACATGTGGAGACTGCCAAAACCCTTAACACCTACTAATGCTGCGTAAGACAAAAACATAGATAGGGACTGTGTTGAATGATGTTCAGAACTCAGGGTAAAGCATGTGAGCTCTACTGGAAGATGCCCAGAGGCAGGTCTACTTTCAAATTCTACCTCATAGACACTGGCACACTGACATTTTAGCATATGAAGAAAATCATAAGAGTTAGTGTAGATGCAGAGTCCTCTAATCACAGACCTGCTGTAGTCCCAGT